CAATTTAAGTATGTTTGGAAATCAGGAGTTTGATTTAGGGGTGAGAATGAAATCTAAAGATGTGGGATATTAGTTGATTATATGTCTTTTATGTCCCCAAATTATTTTGGAACTATGGCTTTGTTGTTGTTGTTGTTGTATTTGACTTTATGTCTGAATTAGATAACGAATTGTTGTAAATCAGGTGTATAATTAAATTTTGCTAAAGCTTTTGATGTTTAACAGTAGTTTGGTCTTTGTTATGATTCTCCATGGTGGAAAGCAACTGAGTATACTTGTTTAAGAGAAATTACAAGTGTGAATTAATGCAGTTAATTTGAGATTTATTTGACTTATTCTTAATTATGGTATGACTTTCCTTGTTTATGGTACAATTGAAGTTTTCAATAGTTTAGATGGGAATATCAGATATGAATAATTTTTGGTTACTCATATAGGTTCTTTATTCAAGTGGGTTTTATTAATTACTGTTGAATGAAATTAAGTATGATTTCATGCCTCTACAAAATCCACCTTTGATGGAAGATAAAACACTAAAATCTCAATGGCGTGAGTTTCCTGGTTTTGCATTGGTGATTGACTTGGACAGACGTGAGTGATAATGCAGGTTTGTTACTTCATTAATTCTATCCTTGATTGTTGTGTAGGTTAACACTTTGTGGTGTGTTACACAAGTGGAAACAACCTGTGGCTCTGTTTATATGAACTTCTAGTATATAGACTAAGCTAATTTTTAATATTTAAGTGGGGTGTATAAGTAGCATGTACGGGATTTAATCTCAGGTCTTAGGTGCCATCTTCTAAGACTTCTACCAATATAGCCTGTTGGTATTCACATCGAGTTGACATTGATGTAAGGATGACTGGTTAGTCTAATGTCTGATTGATTTCATTTTCTATATGTATTCAGATGATACGGGATGAGGTAGGTGTATCTAAAACGACAAGGGATAAGATGTTACTTGAGCTGGAGCAAGAGTGCTTAGACGTATACATGAGAAAGGTTGATCAAGCAAACCACTGTAGAGCTTAGCTATGGCAGGCTATTGCTGATTCGAAGGCGGAGCTTGCAGCCATCTGTTATTCGTAGAGAGAGCGACCACTACCTATTACTTCCTCCGGACCAATGACTTATGCATTTGGATTTTTTGATACTATTCACATGTAGTTAGAATTTTCTATATATGTATCAATATATAAGTCTAATAAAGGATACTATTGCATAAGACATTGGTGATAGCTAATAACATGAGTCTTCTGTAGTTACTGTCCAATTTTTAAATGTGTTAGTCATGAAATGCTGAACCTGGACAAGGTTTAGGAGTAATATTTTGATTTAGAAACTTCGATATTGAATACTTCCAACTTGGTCTTTATTTTTACTGTTGTTTATTCGCTGACATGAGAGCCAAGGTGATCATAATTAAGATGAAGTGGAGAAAGAACTACCACAGAACCAAATTTGAAAATCGATATTTATGACATTACTTGAGTGTATCAAACTCACCTCATCCCTTAGAAAGGATATATTAATGGGTTTGCAGGCGTCAACTAGGTTGATGATAACTAACATTGGAATTAAGAAGCTAGAGACACCACCAGTCGAGTAACCAACAAAAGCGTGTGAAAAAAAAGTGGAAAAGGTTGCAGTGGCTGCTTTGTCGGGGGGTCATACAATCAATGTGGATTTTTTTTGGTGTGTTGTTGGATGTTTCTTTCTCAACTTGCAAACTGATGCGGTGTGTTCATGTTCTGCACAGCCATACCTGTAAGGACTTAGGAATCTGTAGTTGTAAAATTAGTTAATTCGTAAACCATAAACCAAACCAATCAATTCTTCTTTGAATGATAGAAGCCGTTGTTTACAGAATTTGCTCATTATCAGAATTGTCTTTTTGATGTTGTTGTTAACTTCTTTGGATTATCAGTTCGTCTATGGCCATTGGTCAGTAGTTAGATTTGGTTTCTCATGTCCGTGATGTAAAAAATTATAGTTATACAAGAGGGATATCTGCTCCTTTTTGCATATGTTTTTCTTTTTTCTTCAACTCAGTCATGATTGTGACTGCAGAATGCAATACACTACTGTAATTCACTGTTAATTTTCAGAAATTATTCTCCGACAATGTGAATCAATGATTCCTTATTTTTACACCTTTTCATCTTCTCCCACCACCCCCCCAAAGCTATAAAAAAACTGAAGTCCTGTTGGACTGTTTGGCGTCAGAGAAAGAGCCTTCATGCCAGTCTAGTGTTTAGGAGATGAGATTGTGTATATCATGACCTCTTTGGATGTGGGTGAAGGTACCATCACGTCAGTGTTATTTGGCTTGCTTATGTTGCTGCATGATGCTTTTGTAACTGCCTCCATCCTCTTGAGTGATATGTTTAATGGTAAATGACTTATTTTATTCAAATGTAATGTTGTTTTTGTATTTATGCCCTCATGTACTCGACATGTGATTTCAATGTTGAGGGCGTGATTGCTTTGTTTGTATCACATTTGCCGGTAGTCAGTTTGGTTAAAGGTCAAAGATATTAGTCATATTACCAATCAAAAGAAGGTGAAAGTCAACTCCAGAGTCCTGAAATCAACATTTCCAGCAAGGAAACAAGTTGCGTCATGTTTATTTTGCCATATTAAAAATGTGCATCTATTCTAGTTTACTTGACTCAGTTTTGTTTATATGAACTTTTGCAGCATTTTATAAATGATGGGTTCAGCCTGCATATATACTTCTTCTCATTCTTTTACCTGCATATATATAAGAGAAGATTGCGAATTTGGAATCAGAGAATCAAGTTCTTCGCCAACAAGCTGTCTCAATGGCATCAAATAAGTTTGTGTTCAGTCGCCAAAGATCAATGCTTTAGGTATATCCAGTGATGGATGTTAGATATTCCGCTGTTATAAACAATCTTCCTGTTATTGTTTGTCTCAGAGATAGGGTTATCAAATATGTTTAAGAGATTGAAATAAATTTGAGAGAGTAATAAGAGAAAATTTTGGAATTGTGAGAGAAAAGAGTAAGAGAATGTGGGAACCCTTAGTGCATATGAAGAGGGAAAAAAATTCTCCTCATTTGAAGTTGAAGATTATTTTGGAGCGTCTCATAATGATTAAGAAAAAAAAATTATTTTGGGGTGAATGGAGTAAGAATGTAATCAATTCCAAAAAGTTTCAAATCTGAATGTTCACTATTGTTTCTTTATTCTGTTAATTGGCAGAGGGGGTCTGAGAGTGCTCATTTTCCAGACTCACATCTTCGGTTATGCTTCTTAAAGTCTTCATGTCAGCTAACTTTGCCTCATGTCTACACTTCACACTATTCTTCTTTCTTTCTTTCTTTCTTTCTTTCTTTCTTTCTTTCTTTCTTTCTTTCTTTCTTTCTTTCTTTCTTTTTATTTATTTACATATTTGTCCTTCCTCTCAATGCTCTAGGATTTGCATAGCCCCTCCATGAATCGTATAAAAGGCGAAGTAGAAGAGAAGCCACAAAAATTCCTTAACGAGAAACAACAGGAGAATCAGGAATTGCTTATTCGATGTATAGCACTGCCTCTGGGTTTTGCAGGGAACAAACTTATAGCTGCCTGCATAATATACAAATGCCTTCTTCATTGGAGTTCGTTTGAAGTGGATCGGACTAGTATCATTGACCAATTAATACAGACAATTGGTCATGCTATTGAGGTTTGTATTCTTTGCTGCTATGTTGGTATGGATGCTATAGGTGTCTGCTATAAGCCTACCAGTGTTTGTACATATCTGATTGTCTGGCATGTCAAGGATCAGTTTTTTTTTTTTTTTTTTTTTTTTTTGCACATGGGGATACTAGGGCAAGGACCTCTTTATGAAACATAATCCTTACGGCCCGTTTGGTTGTTGGGATTAAATAGTGGGAATGGGAATGAACTTATAATTTATCTTATATAGGGAAGAACTCTTGAAATCTCTATGGAGAGTCAATTTGCTCACAAGTTTTTCTTCATGGGGATTAATCTTGCCTCAAACTTCTCCATGGGGACATATTTTCGCCCCTCAAGTTTCATTACCACTCATTACCATTTTGAGGAGTGATATTGTGTGGGAATGAAAATTGAAGGAGAAAAATGGGCTTTTTGGGATGAAATGACATTCCCATGGGAATGAACATGAAATTTTTTCATAAATTTACACACAAATTCATTCTCATTACCACCATTTACTACCAACAACCAAACGGGCCGTTAATGTCATAGACTTATATGTGTGCCTTCACTCTACAAGCACAAAATCACTTTCCAAGTTGAGTTGTGTACTAGGTCCCATTCATTGCTTCAAAAAAAGGAGGAAAAAAAAGGTCTTATTCATACAATGACTTATAATCACTGACATTGGCTGATGTTGCGATTATAAGGTACATATTCATTGACAAAACTAAATGTCAATGTATACACAACCAGAATCACAATGCTTGGTAGCAACTTTAAAAAGTCTCTAACCAAGGATCACTTGTGATATGCGGATTTTGATAGTTAGAAAAATGAACGTACTTACAAATAAAAAGTTACTCCCTCCGTCCCAGCAGGTTTGCACCATTGTTGACTTTGGGGTCAAAGTTTGCAAACTTTGACCCCAAATCCTCTTTAATATATATGTTAAAATCCTATCAATTGAGATCTTGTTTGATTCGTCATAATGTGTAATTTTTAAATATGTAACTTTTATAATTTTACAAACACGAAATTGAAGATATTTATGGTTAAATGTGTGTCTTGGAGACCGTGAAAAGGTAAATGTTGCAAACCTATTGGGACGGAGGGAGTATAAGACTAACCCCAAAGAAACATTGTAAATAGTGATCTAAGTGAATTGTGTATGCCTGTTGCACCAATAGAAGTTTATCTTGAGTATAGTGTCCAGAATTCATTCGAGTAACGGGTATCATCATAGATAAAATGCCAAGATAATCAATCATTGAAATAGAAGGGGAAGCCAAATATTTGGGTGCATCATTCAAGGAATTCAATAGGAGCCAGATTTGAAACTGTATGAAATACAAAATATGCAAAATTAGTGACATATCAATCATGATAGAAATTTAGACACTTTAGCTTCTAGTTCAAGATAGATGCTCTACATGTACAGGTTGGAAGTACAAGGAAGATACAACGTAGCTCTGAGAAAGTTTGAAGATAAAAAAAAAAACGCTATCACATGAAGAACAATTCTATAGCACCATATCATTCTCTTACTCTCAACAGCAATATGAAGAAGATTGAAGGTTAGGCATTATCTCTTTCTAATCTGGCTCATAATCGTACTTCTGATCATTTCATTCTCAAATCCAATTATATCAATTTCACACCAAAATACCATACAACTCTTCCCATTGTTCATGCAGGTACTCACAACCTAAAGTGCAGCAGAAAATCCTCACAAACATTATTGATATTTTTGTAATTGCCTACAAAACTGAAGAAACTAAGCAATGTAATCTAAAAATTCGGCTAAAATTTTCAAAAATATTTAATTCGCCTATATGCAATCTCAAAAGCAATGCTAGTGTATTGAGATAAGCCTTAACACAATTACACGAAAATGGGGGGGGGGGGAAATTCTATAAAAAGTATCATGAATCAGAAATGAAAATGATCAAACCTTTTGCCGTGAGGCATCATATTTATCTTGTTCAATTCTTTCATGACTGGTCATATATGTCCATGAACTTTCCAAACCTTCCAACCAATTAACAAAGAGCTGCATGCATGCCACCAATTGTTTGTGTACCTGAGGATAGATCATGCACAAGCTTTTGTTCTAAAATAATTTCCAAATTGTCACACTTTCTAAATCTAAAAAATTAGCACTAAATTTCCTCTAATAACATCTATATCCTTGCCAAAATTCTCAGTATTAAAAAAATTTTACATAAATATTTGAAATAAAGACAAACTAGAAAACACATATGAGTACATACATTGGTAATTATAGTATTGAAATACAATGCAGAGTAACAACTTTAAGCATAAGGCTTTTAAGGTACTAACAGTAAGCTCAATCACAACTTTGAACTGAGGAAATTCTACAAATAAAGAAACTTACATATTTCTCACGCTAGAATGCTGCTTATCTTCAAAGCCCTTGTAAACTTGCAACACAAATTAATTAATTAGAATACAAATTCACTGAATTATAGAAAGTATACCTCTATGATATACACAACCATGAATTATAATGCTTGAAAAATTGCATACAGTACATCAATTCATCTAATTAACATAATTCTTCTGCAAAAGGTTTATTCCCCCACCCCCAAGGGGCCCACGCCACCCCACCACTAGGGCTACACGTGAGAGGTAAATCGCGGCACGTGCCTCAGTTGGGAGAGGGAGAGGATGCTCCTGATAATCAACCAAAGCTCGAATCAGGATTCGAACCCGGGCGGGAGGTCATATTCTGCAATCACATCCTTACCTTCACCTACTGAGCTATACCCGGGTGGTAAATTAACATAATTCTTACTTTTCAGAAAAATGATAATAATGAGCCCACTAAACTTTTACCTTAAGGGAGAACTCGCTTCTAGAAAACCAATTTGCTAATTAGTAACTCATAACACAATGCCTGTAATATTAGTGAAGGAGCATCATTTATCAGTTACTCCGTACTCAACTATTAGAACAACAACCACTCATAAACATAATCAGCATAATTAAATTTCACGCGGGGAGTAGAAATGTTTTCTACTCACTTCCTAAGGTCATATTTATCAATGTCCAAACCTTTGGTGTTGAGGAGAGAGAGAAACATAAAATAATAAAAAGTAAGAGGGATAAAGTTTGGAGAGAAGGAGACCAGAGGGATGATAGGCACATACCAGGATGTCTATACCAGGTATCTTTTTAGTCCTTGGGTATTATGTTCTTTTGCAACTTAGCCCTTCATATATTTTTATGTAAATACGACTTTAAATGATCATAATTAATTTAATATTAAACCATAATGATATTATTAATGTTAGAAAATAGTATGCAATTATTAAAATAAGAATTCACACTAATTAAACTTAGTTGATAAATTAATTAACACTTGATTAACTTTTAATGACTTTAATGGTACTAATTATCATTGTTCTACTACTTATATCATGAATAATTTTAATCTATATGCTTAACAGCCCACCATGCTCCGCAATGATAATAAAGATTAAGAGTTTTGATCGATACCTGAACGTAGTTAGAAATGGAATCTCCGGCATTCTTAGCTTTCGGCTTTACTAAAGGTAGCTAATCCCAACCCGCCTTCCTTAGAACAGGCACAACACAGATCTAATTCGTTTCCTACCTTAGACCATAGTCTGTTTCTATATTATATTGTGTTTGGATTATGGAATGTTAAACAAGAAACTAAATTATTCAGAGTATAAAGTTCAAAAGGATAACGTTCCCTTCTGAAAGAAAGACTTTTATTAAATTAAGAAAGCTTACAAACTTAAATACTCAGGGAGTTTACTAGAGTTGATTTGCTCTTAGAGAGATGGAGTTCCAATGTTTAATTTCTCTTAAAACAATATTGCTTCTCTAAATAACCTTGAATTTCTCTCTCTAATATCTATTATGAGTTGAGAATTGTGTGTCCTCTACTTTCTTCTAGTGCCCTTTATATAGGGGAGGGCTTACAAGCATTTCAAGAAAATACAAATACACAACATAACTAATAAAGCTTACAAGTGTTATTCATGCATGAATAGGGTGGTAAGTGATTCATGCATAAATAGGGTAGTTTGCATGTGTAGGGTATTTTACATGTGTCTCCCATGCATGAATAAGGTACTTTACAAGTGTCTCTCATGCATTTTAGCCCATCCCTATGTTCCACATGCCTTCATCCCTAATATTAGCTTCCCAATTGTCATAGATAACAGAATCATCTTCTATGTTTTGCTCTTGCCATAATTTGTTGAAGTATCTTGAAGTGTATGATTCATCTCATGACAAAATTGTTTCTAGTAGATGATCCCCTCCTTCTTCAGATAGGAATTTTCCAGCTTCAATTTCTTTTAAGTAATCATGGACAGATTCACTATGCTCTATCCCTTCCAAAAAGAAATCATGCGTATGTCCAGGTGCTATACCAGTAGTATTTCCCACATGAAATATTAATGGTGGATTCTACCCCTTTTGTAATGCTAAAGCTTGATTAATATAACTGGAAATATAGAAGAATCTGAATGCTCTTGCTTGGACTGGATCAACTACCTACCTTTGTCTTCTGCATATTGGCTCATTTATCCTAAAGATTTCATATCCTAGTATGATTAGAGCTGGATTAATTCCCTTTTCAGTTACTTCAATATTTGTGCATACTACATCAACTTGTAGTCGTCCCGGTGTTAGTCCATGTTCCCTAACTTTATTGAAGACATATCTTTGAAATTTGGTAAATTGAGAACTAAGATAGGAATCAGGATGAGGAGTAGCATGGAACCCATATGGACCATTCCATACTTACAAGCTTTGGCATTTTCTTTTGCATATTCTATGATTTTCCCATTATATAGAATAGGATTTGGATCTATTACCCTTGATCCTACCTACTCCATAATTTTTTGGAAACTTTGTATGTCTTCCCTAGAGAACAAAAATTTCATAGAACTTTTTACTGCATGTTACCACTTCAAAGTACCATTCCTTGAAATCATGAACGCTTATTTTTCTTAAAATAATATCTTGCAAATCAGAAACAAGATTTCTTAAATTATCACGTAGTTCTAAGATAAGAAATGTTTTCATTACTCTATGGCAACCTTTTATTAATCCATCTCTAGACCTTGTTCTTGTCGATGTTATTAGGGCTTGCATCAATGCCTGTGTAGTGGGTGAACCCGCACCATATCTTCTTTTGTTTCATTAATGAGGATTTCCCTCTCTACAACCCAGATGTTCATCTTCTTTGCAGAGGGTTGTTGTTCTCTTGGCTTTTTGCCAAGAGCAATTACTAGTGATGTCATTAGCAAGCTCTCTTGTTAAGCTATCCGCTATTGAATTCTTGGATCCTTGAATATGTTCAACAGTAAACGAAAATTGATTACGCCATAATTGCCATCACAGGAGTCTCCCTTGCGCTTCCATATTAGATAAATTCTTTTTAATAAATCCTAGTATTCCTTTACAATAAACCGTTCTTACCAAGAAATTCTTAGGAGCTAAAAATATTATAAAAAATTGAAATTCCTTTCATAACTGCTAAGATTTCTTTCTGCATTGTAGGATAATTACATTAAGTTTTGTTAAAAATTTTGCTCCTGTATCTGCATAACATGCCCCCATTTTTTACCTTTAATACAACGCTCCAATGTTCATTACTAGCATTTGTTTCAAGAACCAAATCATCTTCACTGTTAAGCAATGTCAAAACTAGAAGATTTTTACATAATTTTTTTGAATTTTGGACAACTTTGGAATTGTTTGATGACCAATTCCAAGTTATTTCTTTTTTCAGTTTTTGTTGTAAAGGTTTTCGTAATAAAGCAAGATTTTTAAAAAAAATTAGAAGCATAAGTCAAACAACCAAGAAACCTTTCTAGTTGTTTCCTATCTTCTATTTCATCAGGAAAGTTTTTTATTTTTTCAAGGATATGTTTTTGCAAGATGATTTGTCGAGCTTTAATCTCTAAACCCAGGAACTCAACTTCTTGTTTTACAAAATCACATTTATCGTTTCCTAATATTATTCAATGTTTTAAACACCTTTGTGTTACAACTTTTAAATCATTTTTATGTTGTTCCAAGCTTTTAGAGAATACTAACATATCATCGATATATACCAGACAACAATGTTTAAGATCTTTGAAAATGTTATCCATTCTTCTTTGAAATATTTGTGGTGCGATTTTTAATCCAAATGGCATAACTAACCATTCTTAATGCCCTTGAGGTGCACTAAATACTGTTAATCGGATATTATCCTTTTCCATTTTTACCTGCCAATATCCACTCTTTCAATCCATTTTTGAAAACCATGTTGCTCCTTGAATGTTATTAAATAACACCATTTTGTTATGAATATAATATCCATCAAATATAGTATTATCATTGAGCATTTTATAGTTTATAACCGTTCTAACTTTTCCTCTTTTTTCTTCGGCATGATTTCTTACCATGAAAGCAAGACTGTTATGAGGACTTTCACTATCTCTTATGAGTTTCTTTTCTAGTAATTCTTCTATTTGTTTATCAAACTCATGAATATCTAGATAAGTATAAATCATTTGGCGTACCCTAATAATGGTATGGGATCTCTTAATGTGATTTTAGCATAGGTCATATCCCTATTCCAATATTAAAATGGATATGTGGAGTATAATTCCTTACATAATTTTTCTTGTTGTTTAATTATTTCTCCCTGAATCTTATTTTCGTCTTCAGAAATTCTTAAAGCAATTTTACGTTGTGTAGGGGTGACCCAATCACCATGCTTGCTGTGCAAGAATTCTATTTTTTTTTATGAGTATAAGCTTGTTGTAGTTTATCCGCAAAAACTTCTTGTGCATTGATTGGTGAACACTATTTGGCTAATAGTTTGGGTACATGGTGAATATAATCTTTGGAAATTATTTCCAATGATCATATCATGAGATGGCTGATCAGTTGTCCACAATACTGGAATTGTAAATGGAACACCATTAATTTCAATAACCAAATCTTCTATTATTTCTGAGTGTTGCATTACACTATCATCAGCGATTTTACCTGCATAAGAGTTTCTGCTTTTTTTCACATATAATTAGGAAATAGTACTCTTTTTCCAAAGCAGACTGAACATCCAAAGCATATATTAACCTTTATGTAAATGATGTTTGGATATTTTTCTTGTTATTTCATGATAACTCTTTCTCCTTATATTCTCTTCATAAACTGGTTCGTTGATAGTTTTAGTTATGTATCCAACTATTCTCCTATTATTAGATTTTTTTATCACTCATAGATGAACTTGACCCTATATCAACACTGTGCCTTGAAGGTTCAAAAGCCTTACTTTTCTTAATTCTAATTCTTTCAAGCATTCTTGATATTTCTTCCTCATCTTCATCAACATCTGTTTCATCTATTTTACCCTTTCCTAATTCCATATTTTTTAAAGATGAATCTTGTCTACCTAGACTGTTAGTCCTTACACTTATACTTCTTTGAAGTATAGGATTCTTTCTAATTCCTATGTGTAGGTGTCCTTGTTCATCGATAATCAATTTGCTTGACTTATCTCACTAGACGAAAAAGATAAAAAGGCACCGGTTCAAATCCCCCCTTTGGCACCGGTTAACCGGTGCCAACTAGAGCATTTGGCACCGGTTAACCGGTGCCAACTAGAGCATTTGGCACCGGTTAACCGGTGCCAACTAGAGCATTTGGCACCGGTTAACCGGTGCCAACTAGAGCATTTGGCACCGGTTAACCGGTGCCAACTAGAGCATTTGGCACCGGTTAACCGGTGCCAACTAGAGCATTTGGCACCGGTTAACCGGTGCCAACTACATGCTTTGGCACCGGTTAACCGATGCCAACTACCACGGCGCGAATTTTTTTTTTTAATACTATTGGCACCGGTTCAAAGCAAGAACCGGTGCAAAAAACCCCACTTTAGGCACCGGTTCTTGCTATGAACCGATGCCAATAGTGTGAAAAAAAAATTTTAAAAAAACTTTTGGCACCGGTTCTGTTCAAAACCGGTGCCAAAAATACCACAAAATATAAAAAAAAATAATTTTTTTTGCATTTTTTTCACTTAAATTGATATAGAAACATTAACATATATATAAAGTTACATATTTTCATTAAAAAAAGGTTGTAATATTACAATTTTCGTCCAAAAAATATCAAAGCAAGGAACGAAAATACAGCAGAAAGGGGCAACTAGCAAGTTATCCCAACAATAAAAACCCAGTAGAGCGCCAACAACAAAAACCCAGTAGCAATTTTTTTTTGTACCATTCTAACTGGCCTAGTATGGCCTTCTCCATTTTCAGAATTTGTTCATTGCTGTATGCCCTTTGTGATATGCTCACAAAGTCATTAACCTGAAACATTTACAAGAATTAATCCAGGGTTTCAAAACTATAAACAACACAGTATATAATTTCTGCAGTAAGTACCTCAGGAGCCCAGATTTCCTCATACTAGCAGGCAATCAACATAGCACCAATACCCAGAAGCTGCAATTCTTTCCTTGGGACAGATTTCGACGAAAGAAACCGATCAACCAAGTTAATGGTCAGATAAAGGGTCTCAGGCATAAGCTCAAATCTGTTGTGCACTTCAATCAACCAATCAACTAAGATAGCCCTCATTTTGTCGTTGATTTCGGGTTGCGAATTCATGTAGTCACAAGGCCGACTCTCATTCTACCACCAAAAACAAGAGCAATTCATCAATCCCTTGCTACTTCCAACAAGAACCATGACTAAACTAAAACATATTCAACCACAGCTAACCCATTATCAACATCAGATGCATCAATGTCAGCTACTTGTTCCTTTGGGTTGTTAGTCAGACCACAAGCAGCCTATAATCCCACCAAAAACAGCTTATTCAGAATCCAATGTAACAGTATTTTTACAAATTTATCATTCAAAGCAAAGTCTCAAATGTCAGCAAATTAGTCCAAAAATATACCTTGCTCCTAGCAGTAAGCAAAGTCTCAATTGGTAAGAAGATAATATATTCAAGGAAAAGCACAAATGAAAATGTTGTGCACCTCCATCGAGGAATTCTCTTCCAAATCTGAACTTCGAAAAATTACCGACTCTGCCACAACTTTCACTGCATGACTGTCACAAAGAGAGTCAGCATTTGTAACATCAATCTTTCCTAGATGATTGCAGTCCTTGCTTCAGTAAAAAATCCAATCAATAAAGATCATAAAGACAATACACATGTGGAAGAAATTTGTCCCAAAAAAGTGACTTATAATACAACTTCTTAAATCCCAAAAAGAAAATTTTACATTTTATTAGGTCATGCATGAAAGTAGTCTAGGAACAGAAATGAAGAGGAAATGTAAAGCCAAGGAACCGTATTCAATAAGAACACTACACCAGACAGAGAAAAAGGCACATACTCCCCTTTTCTTTTATGGTGGCTTCTTAAACTGAAATTTGTTTGATCAGCAGCAGTAGTATTTTCAACTCTTGTTCGACCAGCTGAATCCTTGTCAGCATGATGAATAATTACACATTGAAAAGATTATAATAAATGAAATTGTTTTACAAAAAACAGAAGGAAATCTGATTAAACAAAAGCAAAACTAACTCACATCAAACACGGCCGATGAGGGAGCTTCGGGCTCCCCATAATTGATCTTAGCAAAATATGCATGCATCATGTCTGAGATGTCCATTACCTGGGAAACAATGTCATGAAACAACGTAGCTTAAGAATTCTAAACAATAAGTATTCAAAGAAAGGACCTGGAGACCTCTTAGGGCTGTCACAGACTATCCATTTCCTCCAATAACATCTCATTTAGCAATGAGGTTAAATTATGAATATGTTGATCACCTTGTTGCAAGTTGCAAATACAAGGTTGACACTTGACAGGACTAAAATCATGTAAGACCCTAGTAGCCTGGACTATGATTTTCTTTTATTATAATTTATAAAAAAAAAAAAAACATTGAATGGAATTTTTTTAATTTGATATAAGTTATCTTTGAAATTTAGTGTTAATCCAAAATTACCAAAACACCTGAAAAATAGAATTTTGCTCAAACATTAACTAAATACCACAAGCTGGAAAATAATAAATACAGAGTAAATAACAGTACAGATTTATAATCAATAAAAAATTTGATTAAAATTCATTGCGAAGTTTAAATAGATTGCTATGCTAAAAAAGCAATAATGACAGTTTTGGAAGACATCAAGATTCAGCTTCAATGATTCATGAAAATAGTAGGTAATCTTATATGAATATTGTACATAGTTATCACGTTCATATGCCTGCAAATAACTTTTATCAATGTTTAAGCTATGCGTGACACTAGGGTGAGATGAGTTCTCAAGAAACATCAATTCTCAGCAGGCATTTGCATTAAACTGCGCATAATACCTAGAAGAAAAATCATTCAAACTGCTGCCTTAAACCGTTAAACACACAGAATAGCGAACAAGTCACAAGCGTAGACCAAAGTTCCGAAGCTTGAAAAATAAGAACCTGAAGTTTTGTGCACTTAATAAACAATTCAAATTACTACTTAAGCACACTTAGAAATGAACAAGTCGTATATGAAAACCAGAAACTTCTCAACAATTAATTAGCTTAAGGTCGAAACTGACCTAAATGACTACAAATACCACTCTAGTGAATTACTCACAAATCAATAGCACATCAGTAACCATCGAGTTTTTCAAGTCCATTCAACCGTGTCACCTTGATCACCATCCGTGTGTGAAGTTGCCAATTGAAATCATACTGAAGCTTATACATAGGTTCAAACTTCTCAACATATTGTGGAATTGAAAGAACAAACCCCCATCCAATATCGAGATATGATAACCCATGGTGGCAAGGGGTGAAATGCCTATCATGCCGTTACTCTCTCTACTTGACCAACATATAACTCTAATTTGTATAAATAAGGGCATGTTTTAGGCACGTAGACTTTTATCTAGCCAGCTTTCATCATTTGCAACTCAACTTTAGATAGCAGTGCAAGGTGAAGTATGAAAACAACCTAATTATAATTGTTGATGAAAATATTGACTATATATTACATTGAGTAGCTACGAAGTTGTACAAGTAGAATTACACACAGCTAAACCAAACTGCCATTCGAAAACAGCTACCACAACAAATTACATCAACACACTTTCAATGATCAACTTGTGGATCCTAAACTCCCAACTCTCGCCAAAGAATGAATACACCACAAAAGCAAACCACAAATTGAAAATCAAAATCCTATAACTGACATGGACCACCTTAAAACACATTCAAGAAATCGCACTTGACGATAAAAAGGGGCTATACAAAATCTTGACATATTGATCATTACTTAATCCAAAAGATCTCCTAAACATAGTACTCTGTACTTTTACTCTTAAGGTTAAAGGTTATAGGAGCAATTGCCACAACCAAAACAATCAGCATGAATTACGAAATACTCCAATTCACAGCCATCTGTCAGATGAAATGTATAAAGAAGAATACTTTTAGCATACCTGGTGGCATATCTCACATGTTATGTCCCCTTTCTCATTGCACCAGCGCTGAACACATTTTCTATGTGCATACTGTACATAACAAACCAGGAAAGGTCAATTCTATGTAGTGTAAGAGTATAAGAAACTGAGGACTGAGAGTTGCTTAAAGATGAGCTAACAAGTCAACAACACTAATATCCAAATCTTTATATCTGATAGCAGAACAAAGAGACATACAAATAATAATTTATACACCTTCAATGAAATACTCTAGTTTCAAGCCAGAGTAGTAATCTGTCATTGACTGGCATCAACACGATAATACTATTTTTTTTTATCGACCTTATCAGAATATCTCTCAATGTCTACAACTTCTTCTGCCAAGATGACAAACAACAAAAATAAGGATAGTTAAAATAATAGCATGTAAATCTCAATAATTATGTTTAACTGCAAAGAGTATTTATGTTAAATGTTACTTTCCAGAAAAGAAATATCTACTTTCCAATCACTGAGAGAAGTTGAGTTCAGTAATAAAGAGAAAACTTAATTCTACACCTATGCTTAAATACCAAATTCAATACCAATGGAATTTACAGAATAAGTTCACCAGAATTTACTGGTTTGTGTTGGAACACTCGGGAAGTCGGGAGGGGCAATGTCAAACAGAGTAAAGAGACAAGAGCACATAACCGACAACACAGGTAGTGCAAAAAGCATCCTGAACAGACATAGCTCAAGTACATCCACGTTACCATTGTGCTTAGTGATCTTCAATAAGTTTACATACAGTATAAAATAATATAACCAAACTGTATAGATACAAACTGCCACAAACTTCATTCTCCTTGACAGTTGACTTTCTGAATATAAAACACAAGCACACCATTAAAAAAAAATGCAGCCAGATTGCTTACCACCAGAGAATGTTTCCTCAAGGTGGTACGGTGAGCTTTGAAAGTAGTTCCGAAACTTAAAATTACGTAATGCTAAACCCTTCTCTTCAGGAACATTGTTTCTGTCAGGCAACTCAATATCCTGTGGCAAATTAAAAAAAAAAATGTATAGCATTAAACAAATTAATACAGCAATGATCAAATATGAAGGTGAGGACTGAGGACAGAAATCAAGGATTTTAGGGAGTGATATAAATGTTAGAAATAAATCACAGGAACGAGTGTCAAACAATAATTAAGAGTGAAAGTTCCCTTAATTAAGAATGTAGCGGTACACATAATAAACCTAACCAAAATCACTACACTACCACCAGTTAAAAGATATCATCGTAGCCTAAATTTGATGAGCTTGAGCAAGTGCACTTTACCATTTCCACAAATAATAGATCCGATTGAAGACTATACAAGACAAAAAGATTGTCCAACACAAGAGATTACTAACTTCCAAGGTTCAACTTAGCATATATTCTTGGATGTTGATAATATCCTTACAAAATATATACGACCAACTATAAATCAATAACATCTTAAGAATACTGCTCATACTTTTCTTCCAATGTTCTAGGACATCGACTCTATTTCTTACTCCATCAAAGTTTAGCTTATAACCAGTTTGACTTATAAGTTCAAGATTGATTTCTTCTTTTTTGGGGACTTCATTAGGCATGACCTTAATACCATATTGAATATCTCTTATTGCAATATATCTAGGTTTGCTATAACTTGACTCTCCTCTATACCTTTGCCTTGGAACGACATTATTAACATAATTGTTTTTAGGAATTTCTTCTTGATTTAATTCTTCTCTAATATTATTATTATTACAAAGTCAATTGATTTACAAGAAATTAGTGGGGAGCCGAGATACAATCTGGGCCCCCACCCTTTTAGCTATAACGAACCCGATCCTGTTGAAGAGTGAGCAGCTGCACGAGCACCAATATCTTGAGTCCTAGCGAACGCCTGAACCCGCTTCAGCAACGCAACAACATCCTTCTCTAGTTCCCCCAATGAAGAAAAGGAGAAAGGAAGAAAACCATAGCCAATAGCCCTGCAATGCGCCCCATACTTATCCTGCTTCCGCCGAGCCGCAGCCGACACAACACGACCAGGAACGAAGTCAGACAACCCAGATTGAGTCAAAGGAGAAGACCCCGTCAAGTCAACACATACATCAAGACCTCTATCCCAGTAATAAAGCAACACATTTGCTGGTCGAAGAGCCCCGTCGTTCCCTCCAGTCAACCCAACGTTAACCTCCTTTCGTGCAGAAATCCTAGACCGAAAACAAATATCAACAAGGGTGTCACGAACAACGAACGTTGTGCCGATGTTTAATACCCACCATCCCAGCACAAGACACTGCATGATCCCCATAAATATCCCCATCAAAAACCCTTGAGCAAGAAGAACACGGTGTCGAAACGGAGAACAAAGGAACACCCAACCGGTAGCAAAGAATACAACGGTAAGTCTTATCATTCATAGTCTGACCCAAACCTGATATCGGGACGGCTCGCAACCAGGCAGAAGTGTGATCCCCCTGCTGGGACTTCCATAAGGCAACTTGACGCGGAGATGAGGAGAAAATGGATTCTACAGATGCAGTGACCTTCGTAAAATATATATCTGCAAATTTCTTCATGAGTTTGGGGGCAGCGATCTCACTAGGGTTACGCATAAGGTCAGTCTCCACAGTCCTATTAAAAAGACTAAGAGCTCCAAATCGAAGGCCGGTCCTGGACCAACAATACCAGAATTGCAAAGAAGCGTAGCCTGAAGACCAGAAGACTGCAAACGCGACGCAAGGAAAGCATAGTGCCGAACATCACCCGCTGAATAGACACCCAATCCACCATAAGAAAAAGGTAAGGTGGCCGGACGCCATTGCTAATCACCAAAACCTGGCCCCGAAGCAGTTACAATGCGCTCCAAAGAAGCTCGAAGGGGCCATATCAAAAGAAATCTGGGTCGCTTCAAAAAGACGAGGAGAACAAGTGCGCATAGAAAAGTAGAGTTTTGAAACCCCAATACACGCACGAAGCAGTAACAACTCACATTGGGGATGATATACACGTTTTATACATATATTTTCCCAACTTTTCATTACGTTTTTGCATGGTTTTAGGCTCTTTTGAGCCATTTCCCGCTAACAATCTCTTCTCTAGTGTGTTCGGTGTATTTTTATAAGTTTTATAGGAATTTGGAGTTTTCCGGACAATTCGGACATGTTTAGAGCAATTTGGAGATGTTAGTGGACGAGGACGTATAAGCAAGCTAAACAACGAACCAAGACTAAGGAGAAAAGAGGAAGAAAAGCAGCATTTATAGCTGTGCCCGACCGGGCTAGGCATGCCCGGTCAGATCGGGCGCAATAGAGGAAGTCAGGCTAATGGCAGTCAAAGCAATCATCTGAATTTGGCAATTTGTGCCACGCGCCCGATCGGGCAACCCATGCCCGGTCAGACCGGGCGCGTGGTAGAAGAAGCTTGACATTGCTACGAAGCTCAAGAGAAGGTAGCAGGATGATTTTGGTCTCGCGCCTGATCGGGCTCAACCTGCCCGGTTGGACCGGGCGAAGAAGAATTCCAGCGGAAGCAATTTGCGCAACTTTAATCCTAAGTGCCCGATCGGGCAGGCACAGCCCGGGCAGACCGGGCACAGTTATGGCGCAGCTCCGATTTAATTTTTTTTTATCTTTTTTAGGTCTTAAGGGGTATAAATACCCTTTGTAACTTTCATTAGAGACAGTTTTCAGTTTTCCATTATTCCTCTTTCTCTCTCTAGAATTCTAGTTTATCATTTTGAAGAAATTTTAATTCCTTGCACAAGATTTGAGCATTGTTCTTCAACAATTTAATTCCTTTCAATTGAAGAATCCTTGGTATTCACTTCTACTTCACTCTCTTTCTATTATAATTGTTTTTCAATTATGTTTTCCATATTTATGATTGTTATTGTTTCTTTCAATATGTGTGAGTAGATTTTCTATTCCAAGATCTAGGGTAGCCCAATTATGATTGATGCATGAATTAAAACTTTAAATTCTCTAATGACTTTTACAATTGCTATGCTAAATTGATTGTGATTATGCCAATACTAGGTTAGACGTAATCTTGGTATTGTGATTATTCCATTGTTTCTATCGCAGCGAGAGTTGGATTTAAACGGATTTGAGTAGATCAATTTAGGGTTTGATTTTCAACATGAGAATAGTTGGGTTGATGATTGGGAAGTTAGAGTAATGTGTTTAATGTCTCTAATATGTATGATACCATGAGAATAGGCTTGATTGTATGTCAGAGAAGCCATTGATACTCGAGAGAGGTCCTTGGTATTGATTAGGGTTTACTTTTCCCCATTCAATTGGAATTGTATGTTAGGGGTAGAATTATAATTGCATCATTCGTAATTGTGGTGATACTTGATCTTGGATGTTTTAATTACTTGATTTCTTCATATTCTTTAGTTTATTTTCGAATTTTCCATACATTAGTTCCTTAGTTAATCGATCATTATTGATTCTTGCTTAGTAGGAATTTGAGTCTATTTAATTATTTTTGAACCTTAGTCTCTTGGGATTCGACCCTTGCTTGCCCTGCTACATAGTAGTGGTCAGTTAGGTTATATTTTGTTAGGTACGCGACACGCCTATCAAATTTTGGCGCCGTTGCCGGGGACTAACGGTTTCATTAGATTATTTGTGATTCGTTTTTGCTAAGCTTATTTTGTTGCTTCGGCTATTCTCTCTTGTGTTTTTGATATTTTTTCTCTAGTTTTTCTTGTGCATGCCCACACGACGCTCAGGTTCAGAAGATCTTGAACCATTTGATTCTGAGATCGAGGCAACTATAAGAAGAAGGAGAACAAGAAATCGACGTAGGAGAAATATGGTAGACCAACCAACGAAATCCCTTTTGGAGTACGGTATTCCTGATACGACTATCGGAGTCTTTTCTAGCATCGTAAGACCACCTGTGACGGCTCAGCACTTCGAGCTCAAGTCGCAATTCATCCAGTTCATCTGTAATGATTCATTCGCAGGGCTACCACATGATTGCCCAGTAAGTCATATTGATAGCTTTTTGGAGAAATGTGATACCATGAAGATGAATGGTGTTACAGACGATGCTCTTAGACTTCGCCTTTTTCCTTTTTCATTACGGGATAGGGCGAAGGAATGGATGAGAGATGAAGGTTCTGGCTCATTTGACACATGGTACAAATTGGTGAAGGCTTTCCTAGTCAAGTTCTTGGGACAGGAAAAGACTGCAAGGTTGAGAAACGAGTTATCCACTTTCAGGCAGTCAGATGATGAGTCCCTATATGACGCATGGAGGAGATTCAAGCGTTTGCAGAGACAATGCCCTCACCATGGTATTCCTGAATGGAAGTTGATCCAAACTTTTTACAATGGTCTAACTCAAGAGTTCCGAATCTACATTGATGCTGCATCTGGGGGCTATCTCTTGACAAAGAACCCCAATGAAGCAAAGGAGCTTATAGAGAAGATGGCAGCCAATGATAATTATCATCCAGGAGGCCGAAACACTGTGAAAAAGGGAGGTAAACTTGATGTTGATGCCTTAACTATGCTAAACAGTTCTGTGCAGGCACTAACAAGCAGGTTTGATAAGTTTCAAGCTGGATCCTCTACTACCCCACAGGAGTTGTGTCAATTGTGTAATGTGCAGGGTCATATTGCACCAGATTGCCCGCAGATTTCGCAAAATACAGAGGAGATGTCAATCGAGCAGGCCAATGCTTTCTACTCCTCTAACCCCAAAAGGCCCTATGACCCCTATTCCAACACCTATAATGAAGGATGGAAACACCATCCTAACTTTTCATACAAGAATACCCAAGCACAGCAAAATCCACCTCAACCCAACAGCTACAACCAACCACCACCTGGCTTCCAACAAAGACCACCCAGCACCCAACAACCAATGCAACCACAACCTCAGAAATCTAGCCTTGAGGTGACGGTAGAGAGCTTTATAACCGCAACAAATAGTGCCATCTAACACCAAAATAACTCTATACAACAGTTATAGGCCCAAAGTAAACTCATGGAAAACCAGATAAGCCAACTTGCTAATCAAGTTAGCCAATCTTTAAAGATTCCAGGAACTTTTCCGGGCCAGACAGAACAACCTCAAAAAGGCCAAATGAATGTTGTTACCCTGAGGAGTGGAAAGCAATTGGAAGATCCTCCTACCAAGGAGCCATCAAAGGAGGTCGTTGAAGAAGCAGGTGCAAGTGAGAAGGAAGTTGACAACTCTAGGGTCGAGGATGAATCAAAGGAAGCACCACCAAAGCCACTTGCTCCGTATGTGCCTAAGGTTCCTTTTCCTCAAAGGTTAGGCTAAGCTAAACTTGAGAAAAAGTTCAGTAAGTTTCTTGATATTCTTAAAAAGCTTCATATTAATATTCCATTTTTAGATGCCATATCTGAGATGCCTTCTTATGCAAAATTCTTAAAAGATATGCTATCTAACAAGAAAAAGTTAGAAGAGAATACTACAGTTGCTTTGAATGCAGAGTGCAGTGCTATTTTGCAGAACACTCTCCCTAAGAAATTAGGAGATCCAGGTAGCTATTCGGTTCCAGTGAAGCTTGGAGATATCGAAATTAACAGGGCATTGTGTGATCTAGGTGCAAGTGTAAGCCTCATGCCACTGTCCATATGCAAGAAGCTGCAAATGGGTGAACTCAAACCCACACGCATATCCCTGCAACTTGCAGACAGGTCAGTGAAGTTTCCTTTGGGTGTACTTGAGGATGTACCTCTTCGCGTAGGTAAGTTTTTCATACCCTGTGATTTTGTTGTGATGGAGATGGATGAAGATGTGAATGTTCCAATTATACTTGGTAGACCTTTCTTAGCTACTACAGGTGCAATTATTGATATGAAGAAAGGTAAGATTACTTTTGAAGTAGGTGATGAGAAATTGGAATACTCACTTTTGAATGTTATGGGTGCTCCTTCTATGGGAGACACTGTTTGTCAGGTTGATGTGCTCGATGAGCTGCAGAATGAGCAACTTCCCTTGAATCAGAATGATGATGCTCTTGAACAAGTGCTATTAGGGAAGGAAGATGATGATGGAAATTGGGAGTCAAGAGAGTATGTCAGGCTGCTTGAAGAAGCAAAGGCCGATCTGAACATGAATCCAATCAGAGAGACATTGAGTGTAATGAGTATTGGGGAGAGTTCTACGCCTCCCGAGGTAGAGTTGAAACCCCTCCCCTCTAACTTAAAGTATGCATATCTTGGTCCAAACAATTCATATCCTGTTATTGTTAATGCTGAACTCAAGGACACAGAATTGGAGCAATTGCTCAATGTTCTGAAAATATATAAAAGTGTTATTGGGTACACCATTGACGATATCAAGGGTATTAATCCTTCTTTTTGTATGCATAAGATCATTCTTGAAAACGATCATGCCTCTTCTGTAGAACCTCAGAGAAGACTTAATCCAAATATGATGGAGGTAGTGAAAAAAGAGGTTCTGAAATTGCTTGCTGCAGGAATAATCTACCCTATCTCTGATAGTAAGTGGGTTAGCCTGTACAAGTAGTACCAAAGAAGGGAGGTATGACCGTTGTAAAAAATGACAAGGGTGAGCCAGTCGCCACTAGGACTGTTACATGGTGGCGAATGTGTATAGATTATAGAAAATTGAATAAAGCCACCCTGAAGGATCATTTTCCCCTACCCTTTATTGATCAAATGCTTGAAAGGTTGGCAAAGCATTCCTTTTTTTGTTACTTGGATGGATATTCTGGTTTCTTTCAAATTCCCATCCGTCCCTGTGACCAGGAAAAGACTACTTTCACATGTCCATATGGCACCTTTGCATATCGCAGGATGCCATTTGGACTATGTAATGCCCCTGCCACTTTTTCAGAGATGTATGATGCCAATTTTTTCAGGACTCATAGAAAACTCTATGGAAGTCTTTATGGATGACTTCTCCGTCTATGGAACAACCTTCGATGTATGCCTTGAAAATTTGAAGAAGGTGCTCCAAAGATGTAAAGAGGTCAATTTAATCTTAAACTGGGAAAAATGCCATTTTATGGTACAACAAGGTATTGTTTTAGGCCATGTTGTATCCAATAAGGGTATTGAAGTAGACAGAGCTAAAATAGAGGTCATAGAGCACTTACCACCACCAAACTCTGTAAAAGGAGTTCGAAGTTTCCTTGGACATGCAGGTTTTTATCGTCGTTTAATCAAGGATTTTTCGAAAATTGCTCGACCTCTAACTGAGCTCTTGGCCAAGGATGTACCTTTTGTTTTTTCTGATGCTTGTCTTAAAGCTTTTAACAGGTTAAAGGAAGCCTTGATATCTGCTCCTGTCATGCAACCCCCAGATTGGAGTCTGCCGTTCGAAATCATGTGCGATGCTAGTGATTATGCGGTAGGAGCCGTGTTGGGGCAAAGGAAGGAGAAGAAGCTTCATGCAATATACTATGCTAGCAAAACTTTGAGTTCTGCTCAAATGAATTATGCCACGACAAAAAAAGAAATGCTAGCAGTAATATATGCAATTGACAAGTTTCACTCTTATTTGGTAGGTTCTAAGGTCATCATTCATACAGATCATGCAGCATTGAGGTACTTGATGACCAAAACCCATGCCAAGCCTAGGTTGATTCGATGGATTCTTCAACTACAGGATTATGACATCGAAATCAAGGATACCAAGGGAACGGAGAATGTTGTTGCAGACCATCTTTCCCGTCTTCTCCTTGACCCTGAGAATGGAGATGAAGTTCTTTTTGATGATTCTTTTCCTGCAGAGCACTTATTAGTTTTACTACAGACTGAATCACCTTGGTTTGCTGACTTGGCTAATTTCCTCTCTACAGGTACAATGCCTCATGGCTACTCCTCTCAACAGAGGAAGAAATTCCTTTCTGAGGCAAGGAGATATTTCTGGGATGATCCGTTCCTGTACAAACAATGCGCAGATTCTATGATTCGAAGATGCATTCCAGAAATTGAGGTAAATTATATAATTTCTCATTGCCATGACTTACCTTGTGGTGGACATGCAGGCCCCTCGAAGACAATTGCAAAGATCTTGCAATGCGGATTTTATTGGCCTACTATGTTCAAGGATACATATGCCTATGTCAAGGCTTGCGATAGATGTCAACGGACAGGCACAATTTCTCAGAAGAACGAGATGCCACTTAACAACATACTCGAGGTCGAGTTGTTTGATGTGTGGGGGATAGATTTCATGGGTCCGTTTCCCTCTTCCTATGGCAACCGTTATATCTTGCTAGCCGTTGATTATGTCTCAAAGTGGGTGGAAGCAATTGCTACTCTAACCAATGATGCTCGTGTGGTAAGTAAGTTTTTCAAGAAAGTTATTTTCCCTCGTTTTGGTTTACCACGTGTGTTGATTAGTGACAGGGGAACACATTTTCTGGAGCATCAATTTGAGGCGATGTTGAAGAAATATGGAGTGCAACATAAGCTTGGAATTGGCTACCACCCACAGACCAGTGGCCAAGTTGAAGTGTCAAATCGAGAGATCAAGTCCATCATCGAGAAAACTGTTGCACGAACAAGAAAGGACTGGTCTGTCAAGCTAGATGACGCACTTTGGGCGTACCGAACGGCCTTCAAAACGCCAACCGGAACAACCCCATATAGGTTTGTCTATGGAAAAGCGTGCCATCTTCCCGTCGAGCTAGAACACCGAGCATTCTGGGCCATAAAAAGCTTGAATTTTGATGCCAAAGCAGCCGGAGAGAATAGATTGTTACAACTTAATGAATTAGATGAGCTTCGTCTCGAGGCCTATGAGAGTTCGAGGTTGTATAAAGAGAAAACAAAAAGGTGGCATGACAAAAACCTTGTGAGAAGAGAGTTCAAAGAAGGGGATCAAGTCCTTCTTTTCAACTCTAGGTTGAGATTATTCCCAGGTAAGCTTCGGTCTAGGTGGTCGGGGCCATTCAAGATCAGAAAAGTTTTCCCCTACGGCACTATTGAGTTGGAGAACACAAGAGGGGAACCCTTCAAGGTCAATGGACAGAGAGTGAAGCATTACCGAGTCAGAGATCCCATCGATGAGGGGGTGGACATCACACTCTCATCCCCATCACAAAGCTCTTGAGAATTATTATGGTCAAGCTAAAGACCTTAAAACAAGCGCTTTTTGGGAGGCAACCCGTTTTTCTTTTAATTCCCCCCGTTTTCCAATTAATTTCTCTTATTTTTTTCTTTTCCCTTGTTTTTCCCTCTAAGTTTTTTTATGAAGTTTTGTGTGTGTCTTTTATCTTCAGAGAATATCAGCATATAGGAAAAGTGGGACGCCGAGAAAGTTCAGCAAAAGTGGAAGAATAAGGTTTTTACTCTCCGCACGATCAGACCAGGCAGTATCCGCCAGATCGGGCGCGAGAGACGAGATTGGAAGAAAGAAGAGCGAAGCAGGGATTACTCTCCGCCCGACCAGACCGGGCAAGATAAGCTCGATCGGGCGCGAGAGCATCTGTTGGTTCGGCTACATTAGCTGCGTACTCTACCCCCCACGCCTGATCAGGCCGGGCAGTGAGTGCCCGATCGGGCACAGGAGGTTAAGGCCTCACCAAATTTTCTACAAAAAAAAAAAAAAATGTCTTTGCCCGATCAGACCGGGCTATGCCAGCCTAATCGGGCGCGAGTACTTCAGGAATAAGCAGCAGCAGCAGAACATGAGAAACCTTTTACGCCCGATCAGACTGGGCAGCACCCGCCCGATCGGGCGCGAAGATAAACCTGCGAAATCCAGCCGTCAAAACCCGATTTTCCCCTTTCTTTTCTCATTCCTTCTTTCATCTTCAACCCTCTTCCACTCTTTCTCTCTCTAAAAACCCCCAAATTCCCAACACCTTAACTCCTCACTTCTACAAAAACCACCATAAATCCCCACTCAAAACACAAAGTTCCTTCATCCTCCATCTTCCTCATCCATTCCTAACATCCACAACAACCTTTTCCACTACTCGGTTTATAGACCGA